TGGGCCCTGCACCCCATGGGAGACCAGGAGGGGGCACCTGGCTCCTGCCTTCAGATAGGTGCGGTGCGCCGGCTGCAGCGCACCGGCCGCGGCAGCCATTGGAGGGTGAACCAGCGGCAAAGGAAGACCTTTCTCTCTGTCTCTCTCTCTCACTGTCCACTCTGCCTGTCAAAAAAAAAAAAAAAAAAAAAGTGGGAGTGCTGTGTGGACAACTCTGCACAGGGTGAGTGCAATTCCTAGTGCACCTGCTTCACACCAGGGCATGTCGGGATGGACTACCCATAGCATAGGAAGCTACTGCGGACGGACGCCTGCAGAGCAGTCCAGGACTTCCCAAGGACTTCACCGTCCTTCCCTCTGCTCTGCCCTTTCTGGCTCCATGGCTACTGTGCTTTTATCCAGGTGGCTCAGTTTTGAGGTTTCTGCCTATCCTCAAGCCCAGGATCCTCTGTGGGTAGGGGTGCAGGTTGGCCAGGTATAAAAGAAACCCAAATTGTTCTGCATATATGAGGCAGGCGTGGGATAGACCTGGGAAATAACTGCCTCCAGCTGCAGTGGCTGCTTCCTGGGCGTCTTTACAGAGTCACAGTGAGGATTTGCCTACCTGATGCTCTCCTGGGACTATGCAACCTCTGGGTAGTGCAATGACACTCAACAGGTGTTACCAAAAAATTGTGCCCTGGCACTGAACTTAGAGAGGAGTTTTATTGCTTCATTTTTTGCAACCACATAAAATAGTTGTGTTGGGTTTTAGAAGGTGGGAACAAGTTGGGGCTGCCTAAGAAGTTGACCAAGTCCCACATTTAAACTTCCCCAAACCTGACATCTTCACGCTGGCCTGGCCGAGAGCCATCAGGAGGAACTGGGACTGGAGAATGCATTCGCACCTGCCATCCTCTGTGTGGTCCTGCTCTGGACGCTCATGGTCAGCACAGCTTCTGCAAGGCTCACACTCAGGGCGGCTGTGGCTGGATGTGCAGTCAGGTGCTTCATTTTGGCCCACGGGTAACAGTGGTCCCTTAAGGTTATAATGGAACTGAAAACTTCCCACCACTGAGTGTTTCGACTGTACTTACCATTTGGTTACAACTTCCCACAGTGTCTAGTTTAAGTCACACGCCTTACAGGTGTGTAGCACAGGAGGGACAGGCTCTACCTAGAGCCATCCCATCTGGGTTTGTGTACACACTGCAGTGTCCGCACAATGATGGTCCCATCCTTAGATCACCAGCCTCCAGGTCACCAAGGCATCTACCAGGCCACTTCAAGTATGTCCCCACACTGGACTGGGCGGCTACCACTCAGCTGTCTGTGCCACGTAGTCCCAGCACTGCCAGACCTTGGGCAACTTCAAGAGTAGCCAAAAATCTGAATTTTCATGTGAATACTTCTGAACTGTTGAGCTAACTAAAGTTTTTGTTGTTGTTGTTGTTGTTTTGACAGGCAGAGTTAGACAGTGAGAGAGACAGAAGGAAAGGTCTTCCTTCCGTTGGTTCACCCCCCAAATGGCCGCTACGGCCGGCACGCTGCGCCAATCTGAAGCCAGGAGCCAGGTGCCTCCTCCTGGTCTCCCATGTGGGTGCAGGGGCCCAGGCACTTGGGCCATCCTCCACTGCCTTCCCGGGGCCACAGCAGAGAGCTAGACTGGAAGAGGAGCAACCGGGACAGAACCGGTGCCCCAACAGGGACTAGAACCCGGGGTACCGGCGCCACAGGCAGAGGATTAGCCTAGTGCCCCATGGCGCTGGCCCCAGGTTTTTGGTTTTTAATAAGTTTTAAAAACTTTAGTTAAGCCAGCGCCGCGGCTCACAAGGCTAATTAATCCTCTGCCTGGGCCCCTGCACCCGCATGGGAGACCAGGAGGAGGCACCTGGCTCCTGGCTTCGGGTTGGTGCAGCGTGCCAGCCGTAGCGGCCATTTGTGTGGTGAACCAATGGAAGGAAGACCTTTCCCTCTGTCTCTCTCTCTCACACTGTCTAACTCTGCCTGTCAAATAAATTTAAAAAAATTTAAAAAACAAAAAAAACAAAAGCCTGATATTGAGTGGCTAAACACTATGTGGGCCAAGCCTCCCAGGTTTGTGGGATACAGCTATGCACCCCCGCCCCAGTTCCGGGTCTCTGCAGTTCTAAAACTTCCCTCTCCAGCTCCTTACACTACATTTAGTGTAGTCATGCATGCCCTGAGTGACAGTCACGTCTGCTGCCCCTGTCTGTGAAGGGCAAATCTCCCCAGCTAAGCACGTCCCAGGGCTCGCTCCAGGGAGTCCACCCTGGTCACTGGCTCCTACACACCTAGGGGACAGAGACTGGGCAGAGCAGAAGAAACTGCGACTCTGTCCTTTGCTGGTTTCCCTCTGCAGGTCTCACTGTTTGGGGAAACCTTTCCCTTCATCCCTCAGCCCCTGAAGACCTCCGAGGGGAGGTCAGTACTCTTCTTTGTAAGGCTCCGTCTTCTGGGATGGCACCTGTCACTTCGGCCAGCCCAGTGACCTTGCCAAGAGAGGAAGGAGCTGGTGCTGATGTGACCTGTGTGTCATCAGTGCAGCCCCCTGGCTGGCAATCCTGGCTTCTGTAGCAGTGGCCCAATCAGAGCCCAGGTACCTTCCCTCCTCCGGGCTCTGCCTGCTGCATCCAAAGCACACTGTCTGGAACACCGGAACTGAAACAGAATCTGGGGTGCACAGCTCTGTTTTTTCACCATCACATCCGAGTCCCATAGTGCCATGGGCTAGTCTTCTCCATCATGGCTTGGCTCCTTTCCTGATGTAAAATGTTAACAAGGGGAGGACACTGAGGTGCAGCCTCTTGCAATGTCCACATCCTGTATCCGAGTGCTTGCTTGAGTCCTGGCCCTTCCACTTCTGATCCAGCTCCCTGCTAATGTATCCTCAGAGTCAGCAGATGATGGCTCAAGTGCTTCGGCCCCTGGCATCCACGCGGGAGACCCAGATGGAATTCTGGACTCCTGGCTTCAGCCTGGTCCAGCCCTGCATGTTGTGGGCATTTGAGGAGTAAACCAGTACACGGACTATCCCCCCTCTTTCTCTCTCTCCCTCCCTCCCTCTCACTCTGCCTTTCAAGTAGAAGAAAACAAATTAAAATCTTTTTGATGCTTAAAAAAAGTTATTGGTATATACTCTGGTTTCTCTTCAGATCGTATAAAAAAGTTATTGGTAGTATTTACAGCTTTTTTTTTTTACTTTTGGCATCTATGTCTTTAATTATGGTTACTTGGTTTCCTATATCTATTAGGAATCTTAAGTTGTAATCTTTATTTTTAAAGTTAATTACTAAATTTATAAATGGTCTATTATCTATATAGTTGCATTTAAAAAAAGATTTATTTTTTATTTGAAAGGCAGAGTTACAGAGAGGCAGAGGGAGAGAGGGAGAGAGGGAGAAAGGGAGAGAGAGAGAGAGAGAAAGAGTCTTCCATCCGCTGACTCACTCCCCAAATGGCCACAACAGCCAAGAGCCAGGAGCCTCCTCCAGGTCTCCCACGTGGGTGCAGGGGCCCAACTTGGGCCATCATTCACTGCTCCCCAGGTCACAGCAGAGAGCTGGATATGAAGAGGAGCAGCCAGGTCTCAAACCGGTGCCCATATGGGATGCTGGCACTACAGGCTGTGGCTTTACCTGCTACACCACAGCGCCAGCCCTGATACTTACAGCTTTTGCAAGACTTGGTTTATTCTAGCTTTCATTTTTTTCTTGAGCCAGCGCCGCGGCTCACTAGGCTAATCCTCCGCCTTGCGGCGCCGGCACAACGGGTTCTAGTCCCGGTCAGGGTGCCGGATTCTGTCCTGGTTGCCCCTCTTCCAGGCCAGCTCTCTGCTGTGGCCAGGGAGTGCAGTGGAGGATGGCCCAAGTGCTTGGGCCCTGCACCCCATGGGAGACCAGGAGGGGGCACCTGGCTCCTGCCATCGGATCAGCGCGGTGCGCCGGCTGCAGCGCGCTGGCCGCAGCGGCCATTGGAGGGTGAACCAACGGCAAAGGAAGACCTTTCTCTCTCTCTCTCACTATCCACTCTGCCTGTCAAAAAAAAAAAAAAGAATCATTTTTTCTTTCTTACCAGTCCTGCCTTGCGGCATTTTCTCCATTCATTTATTCAACTAAAACTTGCAGAGTGTCTGCTGCTATCCCAAGCAGGGGGCATTTACTGCAAATCAGCCGGGGCGGTGTTAGACACGTGTTTGCACTGCTCGGCCAGGGGGATGCTAAGCCAGTGACTGAGCAAGTGGGGTGTGACCTGCAGACAGGACAAGGTGACAGGATGCTGCGAGCCCCGTGGACAACTACGTAGACAGTGATCAGAGAAGGTTCCTGTGAAGAGGGGGCATTTCAGCTGAACCCTAAACACTGAGAAGGCAGCAGCCATGCGGAGATCCGGGGGAGGGGTTCTGGGAGAGCACACGGCCCTGAAGCAGGAAGGAGCTCAGTGGCGAGGGGGACACTTGCCCAGTGGGCTGGACTGCGGGACCTTGGGCTGAGATGAGGTCAGAGGAGGGTGGGGGCCAGATGTCGCTGGGCGTAGAGGTCAGGGTGAGGGCAGGCTCTAAATCTCAGCCGCTCAGAGGGCCCTGAGTGGAGCCGTGCTAGGACCCAGCAGTGATTTGGTCTGAGGTCTGCGTCCCTCGCAATCTCAACTCACTTGTGGGTCCTCTGCTGTGCCACAGGCTTCTTGAAGGTGCCCTCACTTCCTTCCTTGGGGTCGCACTTGCACAATCCCAGCTGCATTGCGAGAGCTTGCCCCGTCACTCAGGAGCCGGAGTAGGGGTTTCCTCTAGCTCAGCCTGGTTCAGTTACCAAGAACCAGCCGTCCCCGCCCCTGCCGCTGCCCCACGCTCCGCTGGTCTCAGTCTGCACATCTGCCAAGTGGGCCGGTGCCACCGTTTGGCACATCTGACCTTTGCAAGCCGACAGTCTAGCCGTGGATTCTGATTGGGAGAGGATTAAGCCCGAGTGGGATCCTGGAGAGAAATGAAAGTGAAAGGAAAGATTCCCACAGGCTCCAGGGAGGCTGGCAGAGGTGGGAAGGGAGGTAGCAGACAGAGGAGGAAGGGAGGTTTTTAGAAAGCTGGGCAGGCAGGAGCCCTGTGACCCCGGCTTTCACTTCTCCTCACTAAACACCATGTGACTTAGCGGGCCACGGGGGCCAGGGAAAGGGGAAGCCAAGGGGAGCCCAGAGTTTCGCAAGAAACACAGAGAGAGGGAGAGAAGCTGAGCCGGGGGACCGAGGGAGGGGCAGATCAGAGAAGGGAGTGGCAGGGGCTAGCAGGCAGTCGGGGCTTAGGGACAGCAGGGCCACTGGGCCCTTGCCCTCCTAGGTGTCACCAGGAGAGGGGGAAAACAGCTGAGAAAGGGGGACCATCCAGGAGAGAGGGGGAGGGGCAGAGAAGGGCAGGGAGGAAGGGTGGGCAGCGGGAAAGGGGGAGGGGGAGGAAGGGTCAAGGGCCCGGCGCAGCAGAGAGAGGAAGGGAAAGGGGACAGGGAGCAAGGGGTAAGGGGGACGCGGAGAGAAGACTTGGAGGTGGGAGGAGGGGCGAGCTGGGAGCTGAGGATGATGGAGGAGTAGAGTGAGAGAGCGACCGAGCGCAGGGAAGGAAAGAGCGAGGGGTCGGGGTGACCGGGGTGATCGGGGGCAGCAAGGGGGGCCCGCCAGTTTGGGGGAGGGGGAGAGGAGGGGACCCGGAAGTCGGGGGTAGAGCAGAGCTTCGGGGGCGGGCTCCGGGCGGCCCACCATGCCCGGGCCGCGCGCCCCGGAGGAGCGGCGGCCGCTGCTGGCTCGCGGAGCGCCGGGCCCCCGACGGGGGCGGCGGGCAGCGGGAGCGGCGGTGCTGCTGGTGCAGATGCTGGAGCGCGCGGCCTTCTTCGGCGTCGCCGCCAACCTCGTGCTCTACCTCAACAGCAAGAACTTCAACTGGGCCGGCGAGCAGGCGTCCCGCGCTGCGCTCGTCTTCCTGGGCGCCTCCTACCTGCTGGCGCCAGTGGGCGGCTGGCTGGCCGACGTGTACCTGGGGCGCCACGGCGCCGTGGCGCTCAGCCTGGTGGTCTATCTGATCGCCTCGGGCCTGCTGCCCGCCACCGCCTTCCCCGATGGCCGCCGTTCCTTCTGCGGCGAGATGCCCGCGCCCGAGCTGCGGCCCGCCTGCCCCTCGGCCGGGTGCAGCCGCACCTCGCCCAGCCCGTACTGCGCGCCCACCCTCTACGCGGGGCTGCTGCTCCTCGCGCTGGCGGCCAGCTCAGTCAGGAGCAACCTCACCTCCTTCGGAGCCGACCAGGTGAGTGGCGGGAGGGCCTGCCGGGATGATGGGAGGCCCAGGGGCTGTGAATGGAAAGCAATGGACAGAACATTGAAACCCAGGAGTCAGGAGGCTCTGGCCCCAAGCCTGACCTTGAACAAACCGCTTCCCCTCTTTGCACCCAGTTTCCTTATTTGAAAGAAGATGAGGTGCTAGCCCAACCCAGACTAGTGAGAAAGCCACAGTTGGATGCCTTTGGTCTGTGTGCAAGCCCCATGCTAAGCACTTCAAGTGTTTTAACTACCCAAGAGGTGGGTAGTATTATGGCCGTTTTACAGATAAGGACACTGAAATTTCGTGACCTCCATCATCTTGTCCAAGATGGCAAAAAGAGCAGGTCAAACAGCCTGCTAAGAGCAACAGGGTCGTAGGTCCCGCCAGAACCCCACCTCTCTGTAGCATAGGGATGGGTTGGGGTAGGACCAGCCAGTTCCTTCTCACCAGGTTGTCAGGGAGACTTGTTGGAACCCAGCTCTGCCCATCAGGGTCCGAGGGCCCTTGGGAAAGTGTCCTCACCTCTGAACTTTTCCATTTTCCTTGGCCAGAGCATGGCACACAGGAGAAATGCAGTAAATATTTGCTAAAAGAATGAGTGAATGCCTACCAACATGGTTATATGTTGATAGCTCTTCCCAGTGGGATATTAGACAATAATTAAAACTAATGTGGAATATTATTGAAGCAATCACAGATGGTGTGGATGAGCAAAAACAGGAGGCAGAATGGCACGCACAGTATGAGCACAGCCATGGCAAGAGAGCAGGCGCCAGCCAAAGGGGGAACTGGGAAAAAATGCCTTTTCATGAAAAAGGATTTTGTTTATCTGAAAGGGGGGGAGACAGAGAGAAAGAGCTAGTCTTCCATCTCTTGGTTCACTCCCCAAATGGTTGCAACTGCCAGGCTGAGCCAGGCTGAAGCCAGGAGCCAGGAACTCCAACTGGGTCTCCCATGTAGGTGGCAGCGGCCCCCAAGTGCTAGGGTCATCTTGCACTGCTTTTCCCAGGTGCATTAACAGGAAGCTGGGTGGCAGCAGAACAGCTGGGACTTGAATATGGGATGTGGGTATCACAAGTGGCTGCTTAACCCACCGCACCACAAAGCTGGCTCCAGGGAAAAGCTTTCTAGCAGTAGTATGACCAGGTCACTGGACGAATTGCACTTTGCCCCTGTCTCTGTTTTTCTTTAATTGGGCATATTACACTCACAATTTTTGTTCATGTATTTATGTATGCAAATATTTAATGACATAGAGAGAGCTCCCATTAGCTGGATCACTCTCCAAATGCCTGCAGCAGCTGGGGTAGCCAAAGCCGGGAGCTGGGTGCTCGATCCAGGTCTCCCATGTGGGTAGCAGGAACTAGTTATTTGAGCCGTCACCACTACCTCCCAAGGTCTGCACTGACAGAAAGCTGGAGTCAGGAAGTGGAGGTAGGAATCAAACCCAGGCACTTTGATGTGGGATGTGGGCATCCCACCAGCAGCACACCTGCTAGGCCAAATGGCCATCCTGGGTTTGTATTTTAAAGAACCATTTCATCCAGCTGGCATCCATGGTCCAGCACCAAGCGGTGTCCAGTGTCCTTGCCAAGGAGTCACTGATCCAGCCTGGTTTCATTCCTCTGAGGATGGCGGTCTGTGTGCTGCCAGGCCAGCCCTGGCTGTTTCTCACCCACCAACGATGACATTTTTCCAGACTGGGAGTTCCTCAATATTTTCCAATAGACATCTCCCATCTTTCCTTAATTCTCGTCTTTCATTGACATCCCACTACCCTTCCCCCTGGGTGGTGCCCTTAACCTGTGCCCTTGACCTCATTGATCAGGAAGAGTGTCAACCATCCAGTGTCCCCCATCTCTCCCTCCTCCTGGTGGCAGAACTGGAAGCCAGGGCTCTGAGCAGAGCCTATCATAGCATTAATAGAACCCCAAGATTCTTCCATTGATTGAGATAATGGACTTTGGGCAGAGAAAAACTGAGTTCACAAGCTGCCTTAGAAGGTCGGGAACCTGACCCCTACACATTGTGGAAACATTGTTAATTTAGGCAGGGATAGACATTGCTGGATTTGAGTTCCTTAAAAATGGCTTGACTGCAGTGTAGAAAGATGAGCCAACAGGAGTGGGGGCACCAGCACAGAGAGGAGGGTGCTGCAGATTCAGGGGAGGGGCAGTCAGTTAGCGGATAGGGTGTGAGGGGCTGGCACCATCTGGTAGACTGCTGTACCCAGGAGCCGTGTGTTTAACACACTTGCTGATTTCAGAAAGGGCCATCCATCATTCTGAACAAAGTGTGTCTGCTCATTCTGGAAGAACTCATTTATGTCCTGCATGGGCTACCTGTCCTCCCCCTCGGCTTTACAACTGTCATATTCATTTACTTCCAATTAATAAATGGAAGGGGCTTCTCATAGTGGGACTCCTTCGATTTTCTGCTTGAAAGTCTAGAGCAAGGACTTGCGGTATGTCAGCATGCCCCCCGTCTCCCATCACCAAGAGGAATCCTCAGAGTCTCCAAGGCAAAGCAATTTTAAGCACATCCATATGGATTGTAGTTTTACATTTGGCAAAGGGGGCGAAGTATGTATCTCTCTCATCAACGCAACTGCAGAAAAGAAAGCTTGATAAAACCTTCTTAGCTAGTGGGAATATGTGCTCTGTGTGGGGGATGGTAATGAGTGCTGATATTTGGGGAGTTATTGGAAGGGGGGTCAGTTTAACAATGTGCAGAACTGTTTATCTAGAGAAATGACTCTGAGTCTCCACTGCTTTGTAGAAATACAGATGCCCGGGCCGTACCCCAGTCTGCTGAGTTGGAAACTGTGACCAGGGTCATGGGGAGGGGGACAGCCAGTGCAGCTGGCCCACACCAGTAGACCAGAAGGGGGCCTGGGGCCTGATTGTTGCAGATTGATCCAAATCCTGGGTAAAGATTTTCTCCCCATTTGTCCTTGCTAGGGGGCTTCAAAGAGGCATTTTTTTTTTCACCAGGCCAGACTTGCTCTCAGGCAGTGTCCAAAGCCACCTCTGTGTCCCCTGATTATGCCAACCTTATCTGACTGGGCATATAGCAGAGGGCGGCAAGTTGGGAGAAGGGATGGGCCACCGTACAATGCAATGTTTGCATCTCCAAACTGCAGAGAAAATTCTCAATGAGACTTGTAACTGTTCTTTCAGTAATATGCATACCTCATATTTAATAGTGTGGAACACAACTGAGATCTTTATTGGCTTTTTTCCTGGCTATAAAAGTAATGTAGAGTGCAGGTTGCTCAGTCAAAGACAAAGGAATAAATCAACCAGAAATGAACAGAGTGGCATCAGAGACATCTGTTGTGCACGCCACTTGGTGACAATAAAAAAAGCAATGTGTGTCATGAGCATGCAAAAACAGCTGTGCCCAAATGTCCTGCTCATTAACAAGTGACTCCCAAGGGAAGGGTTTGCTCACTCATTCAACAGTTTATTGAGCGTCTACTTAGTGATCGGAGACTAGGAAAATGCCAGAATGCCCATCCACTGACCCCAGAAGTGTCTCTCTGGGAGGGAGGGGTGCAGGACAGAGAGTTCCCCTGGACGTGCATCGCCCTCACTCTCAACCCTATCTGGCTGGCAGGTGATGGATCTCGGCCGTGATGCCACTCGCCGCTTCTTCAACTGGTTTTATTGGAGCATCAACCTGGGTGCTGTGCTGTCACTGCTGGTAGTGGCCTTTGTCCAGCAGAATATCAGCTTCCTGCTGGGCTACAGCATCCCCGTGGCCTGTGTGGGCCTGGCCTTCTTCATCTTCCTCTTTGCCACGCCTGTCTTCATCACCAAGCCCCCCACAGGCAGCCAAGTGTCCTCCATGCTTAAGCTGGCGCTCCAGAACTGCTGTCCTCGGCTGTGGCAACGACATGCTGCCAGGCAAGGAGTGGGTTCTGGGTGAAGGGGGACCCCAGGCCTGGAGAAGCACTGTACTTCCTCTTGGGAGGGTTGGTCCAGACGGCAGACACTGTGGTCAGCCCCAGTGGACAGCCCTTCATGATCAACTGAGGATAACAGTGGAAGTCAAGGTGGTGCCGGTGTTGGTGTCATTGCTGGTGACTCTCTAGCTGTAATAACTGTGAGAATGGTCATAGTCTTTTTTTAAAAAAAAAATTTATTTATTTTAAAGGCAGAGTTAAAGAGAGGCAGAGATAGAGAGAGAGAGGTTGGTCTTCCATCTTCTGGTTCACTCTCCAGATGGCCACAACAGCTGGAGCTGTGCCAATCTGAAGCCAGGAGCCAGTAGCTTCTTCCAGGTCTCCCACGTGAGTGTAGGGGCCCAAACACTCAGGCCATCTTCCACTGCCGTCCCAGGCCAAGCAGAGAGCTGGACAGAAGTGGAGCAGCTGGGACTCGAACCAATGCCCATATGGGACGCCAGCACTGCAAGCAGTGGCAGTGACTTTACCTACTGTGCCAGGGTGCTGGCCCCATGGTCATGATCTTGACAGTGATGGTGGTGATATTGATGGGATGATGGTGTTGGTGTCTGTGATAAAGGCAAACACTAGTAATGGGAATGGCAATGGCAATGATGGAGATGATGGGACCAACAAAGGTCACTGAGATATAACACAATTCTACACTCCCTGTTATTAAGCATAACAGAGTCTTAAGAAATCAGCCAACATTGCTCTGCCCACCATAGGCTGATGTCCAAGAGGGAGGTTCTTAATGGCCTTGCCTATGTGCAGTAGCTTCTTTCTGCCTTCTCCTTCCTTATTTAATTGACTATTAAAGCTAAACACATTTGTCTGCAGACCTTGTAGCTGGTTAGTACTAACAACAGGATCTAGATGGAAAAGGTGTGGAACATGCTTCCCCCAACCTGACATATTGCTGGAGAATTGGTGAGGAGTCATCAGGTACCAAGTAGTCTGGTTACTTTAATTACATACTGCTGCCTAACAAACCACACCCAAACTGACTGGCTTAGGCAACCTTTTGATCCCCTCTCATGGTTCTGTGTGTGACTGGGCTCAGCGGAGCAGTTCTGCTATTCATTATGTCACTGCCATCACTTGAGGGCTTGGAAGGTCTAGAACATCCACGTTGGCTCACACATGGCTGGAGTTGGTGTAATCCCAACTGGGAGGGTCAGCCAGAGCTCCTTGGTGCCCCTTCTTGTGGCTTGAGCTTCTCTCAGCATGGTGTTCGTGTAGCAAGAGGAGGGGGCATTCCAAGAAGGACTGTCCCAGAGGGAAGGATGCAGAAGCCACAGGTCTTCTTAAGTGAGTGGCTTGGAAGTCCCAGAGCACCACGCTGCCTCCTTCTCTTGGTCAAAGCAATCACAGGGCCGTTCAGGAATCGGTGGCAGGAGAAAAGAAATGTACTGGTTGGTGGAGAAATGACATTACATCCTGGGCGGGGAGGAGTTGACGGTGGCTCTCTTTGGAGATGATCATAATGTTGCTTCTTCTGAAATCTCAGAGGATAATGCAAGGCTCTTGGGCAACAAGGGATCAGAGACCCCTCAGAATGAAGGGCAAAGGGCAAAGGTTATAGCAGTGGTTGACCTATCCTGCCTCGTAATGATGTTTCCTCTACCCCTGCTTCTCCACTGCTGACCTCCTTGTCACAGAGGAGGAGGCTCTGATGTCGACTGTTGAGGAAGACAGACTTGGAGAGTTCGGGCATATCAGATCTGTGATAGCTTCTCCTTGTGTCGGGCCTGGGCTGGAACTCCCCTGGTTCTGTGGGAAGCTGATGCCATGAGTCCAAAAAAATCCCTTAAGACTGCTTGCCACAATCCCTGGTCTTACTTCCCCCAGGACTCAATGGGGCCACAGCTCTAGAGTGGAATAGGTCTCCATCAGCCTCCTTTGCTACCAAAGAAAGAGGGGATAATGATCCTACCGACAGTGGTGGTGCCAACAGTGAAAATGTGTGATGGGGCAGTGATGGAAACCCCTGGAGAGGATGATGGTTGCTCTCTGAAGGTGATGAAAGTAGGGGTGCTGGCCTTGCTGGTGGTGGTGATGGTGACATTAGCATTGGAGGAGATGAGGTGAGGAGGGCAGCGACGGTGGCTGTGATTAATGGTGACAGTGGAAGTAGGAATAACTGAAAAGACGGTGGTGGAGGTGAAAACGGTGGCCCTGGTGGTGGGAATGATGATGATGGTGGCTGCTATTTTATTTGCTGTCACTGTGGCCTCACAGAAACTCCCAAAGCACCCACCTGGTGCCTGACCGGAGGTTTCCCCAGCCTGGTCCCTCCCACGAAGAGGACATTGCCAACTTCCAGGTGCTGGTGAAGATCTTGCCGGTCTTGGTGACCTTGGTGCCCTACTGGATGGTGTACTTCCAGGTAAGCACCCTGCCTGTCGCTCCCCCTCTCGCAGAGGAACGACACTGGACCCTGCGCTGTTCTCTTTGCCCGGCCCTTCCTGGGTTTGCTGCCGGTCCCTCACTCGCGGAGGAACGACGCCGTCCTGGGTTAGCTGCCAGCCCCCCCCCCCTCCGTGGAGGGGCGGCACCCCTGCTGCTTTCCCCGCTTCCGCGGAGGAGCGGCACACCGCCGGCCGGCTCTCTCGAGGGCTGCTCAGATGTTCCTCAGATGTTCCCTGGTGCATACTGTCTCTCTCCTCCTTTATAGTCCTCTTCCACCAACCCATGCTCTGCTGCCCACACGCCGAGCACGCTGCTCTCCTCCAATCAGGAGCAGGGTCAGCTCCTGCCACTTGTTAGTCAAATTGGCGAGGCAGCTGCGTAGAAGTTGTTTGCTCTCTCTCAGCGCCATATTGTGGGAGATCAGATGCATAGAATTAGTCCTAGTTTCAGTAATTTAGTCTAGGCCCTTTTTTTTTTTTTTTTTTTTTTTTTTTTGATAGGCAGAGTGGACAGTGAGAGAGACAGAGAGAGAAAGGTCTTCCTTTTTGCCGTTGGTTCACCCTCCAATGGCCGCCGCTGCAGCCGGCGCACCGCACTGATCCGATGGCAGGAGCCAGGATCCAGGTGCTTTTCCTGGTCTCCCATGGGGTGCAGGGCCCAAGCACCTGGGCCATCCTCCACTGCACTCCCTGGCCATAGCAGAGAGCTGGCCTGGAAGAGGGGCAACCGGGACAGAATCCGGCGCCCCGACCGGGACTAGAACCCGGTGTGCCGGCGCCGCAAGGTGGAGGATTAGCCTATTGAGCCACGGCGCCGGCTAATTTAGTCTAGTCTCAGTTGCTCCCCACACCTGCCCTTTTGCCTTGGGGGCACCTGGCTCCCCAAACCCTGAATGGGTCTCAATTCTCACCATAGAAGCTCAGGGCATGCAGGAAGAGGAGGAGCAAAGGGAATTGCTGCTATGTTCCAGCTGATGTGGGACCTGCCACACACCATCCCTTTATAGTCCCCTGGGTGGTAGAGCAGGAGGAATTCTGGAGAGAGGCCTGAGGCCCAGCTCCTTGAATAAGTCATCCCACCTGTCTGGGCCTCAGTTTCCTTATGTGTCCACAGCGTACAGACTCTCCAACTTGGCAGCTGAGGCTGAAAGGGCGTGTTAGTTGCCCAAGGCCCCACAGCAGGTCAGAGGCAAGCCCAGTACACTGGGCACTTTGCAACCATGGTTCCCCAGCCTGGCTGTGCCTCAGAATCAGCAGACTACAAGTCAGAATTGCTGGGGCAGTCTCTAGTTTAATAAACTTCTCTGGTTTGAGAGCTCCCTCCCACCCCCCATACCACTTCTCAAAGGAAAAGTTACTGCAGTATGTGTGTGTGTGTGTTGGGGGGGGGGGTGTTTGGTGGGGGTGGGAAGAGAAAGTCACGGTCACTCCCTCCATAGGCCCATTGGCTGGAGCTGCCAGCTTGCCACCTTCTTAGGGGTGGCACAGAAGGTGTCCGTGATGGGACAGGTACATGGGGACTGTGGGTGCCCCCATGGTCAATTCTGTCATGCTGGTTGTAGGAATATTGACATCCCACTATCCAGTTGCTAAATGCTCTGAGTGGCCCAAGTGTTCTCCCCTAGGCTGGCCCCTCCTGTGGGAGTGTCCCAGACCCTCTCTGTTATGTAGTCACTACAAGGGCGATGACTGGTATGGCAGGGGGCCCCCAGGCCCTGGTCTCGCAGCCAAGTCAAGAGCCATGCTGGGGTGGCAGTGCCTGTTTGGCTCCTGGCTGTGTCAACCTGTGGGACTCAGCCTGGCTTCAGGGTCAGCTGAGAACTCCCTGTGGGTGCAGCCATGTCATTCCCGTCCCTGGTTCAGAACTGTTTATCCACGCCTACTCCAGAGACACATAGGGGTCAGTCTTGCTGGGCCCGGGCTCTGGGATGACGCAGCAGCTGACAGCAGAGTGAAGGCCACACCCTGCCTGGCCGGGTGGAGGGTGGTGGGTGGGAAGGTGGCTGTCGCCCAAAGCTTGGAGAGGGGACAGCTGCCCAGCTGCCCTGTGCTCCTGGGAGCTGGGAGCCCCTGGGACTGGAGACAAGGCGGCCAGCTCCATGCCGGTTCTGTTCCATCCTCACCTCCCTCTGTCCTGGCAGATGCAGTCCACGTACGTCCTGCAAGGTCTTCACCTCCACATCCCGAACATTTTCCCGTCCAGCCCCACCAACAGCTCCACGGCTCTGAGAGCCCAGGACAGCAGCTACAGGGTGAGAGACCAAGTGTGCGTTCAGCCCTGGGTTCATGACAGGCTATGGGCGTCCTCTTTTCTCCACTTCCTGCCTCCTGCTGCAGGGTGACCTCAGCTACAGGAAAAGCACGTGGAGGCAGGCCCACATGTGCTACAGCGAGATACCCTGCTCCGCAACCCCCAAGAACTCGGGCCAGCATCACTGCCCTACAGTGCTGCCCTGAAGCAGACCCCACTGCCCACTGCACACCCCCACGTCCGCCTTCAACTCCACCTGTTCCCTCTTCCCTTGAGGCCCTTGACTACCTACAGCCTTACTTTTCACAAGAACTTTCTAAAGCCAGTTCCTTGGTGTTCTTCAGCAATGGCAGATAAATGACATAGTTGCCATTAAACGCCCCGTCCTTGCCAGTGGCAGACATCATTAATCAATCAAGCCATTTTTTTGCATGCTGAGCCTTGTAAGTGTTCCAAGCAGCTACTACCAGTTGACAAAAGTTAGAATTCGAGATCCTCCCTGATCTGGTCCCGCCCCCCTGGTTATGCAGCTGAGGAGGGTAGTCCCAGAGAGGGGAATGGGCTGGCCCTGGGCCACTGAGGGTCAGTCTGAAGTGGAGGGCCCCTGACTGCAGCCCAGAGCCCCTTCCCCTCTGCTAGCCTGCCCCTCTTGGCTCCCTCCTGCCCAGATCCCGGAAGCCTGGCTCCTTCTGGCCAACGTGGTGGTGGTGTTGATTCTGGTCCCTCTGAAGGACCACCTGATCGACCCCTTACTGCTGCGGTGCAAGCTGCTTCCCTCGTCTCTGCAGAAGATGGCACTGGGGATGTTCTTTGGTTTTACCTCTGTCATCGTGGCAGGTGTGTGCAGGATGCGGGGCGGGGGGTGGGGAGCGGGGGCGGCTCTGCTCCAGGCTGATGTCTCTGCCCCTGCACCAGTGAGGTCAGTCCCGGCTTCCCCAGGGGGCATGGGCTGCCCTGCTCCAGAAAGCTCCCCAGAGGGGCCAGCCTTTCTTTTGACAGACAGGGAAAAATGCTGGCAGGGGTAGGGGCACATCTTTCCCCCAGTGGGCTGTAAGCCCCTTGAAGGCAGGGATTTCTGTCTTTCTTGGTCACTGCAGTAAGTAGCAGGCCCTCAACAAATGTGTGGAATGAATTTTCCAAAGAAGACAAGTAGCCACTTAGTGGTAACTGAGGACTTTTTCTTTTCTTTTTAAAGATTTAATCATTTATTGACTTGAGAGGTAGAGTTACAGAGAGAGAGAAAAGAGGGAGAGAGGTCTTGCATCTGTTGGTTCACTCCCCCAAATGGCCACAACTGCTGGGGCTGGGTCAGGCTGAAGCCAGGAGCCAGGAGCCTCCTCCGAGTCTCCCACGTGGGTGCAGAGACCCAAGAACTTGAGCCATTCTCCGCTGCTTTCCCATGTACATTCAGCAGGGAGCTGAATGGGAAGTGGAGCAGCCGGGACTTGAACCGGTGCCCAGGTGGGATACCGGCACTGCAGACAGTGGTTTAACCCACTGCGCCACAGTGTGAGCTCTGGGGCTTTTTGTTTTTAAAATGTCCTCCCTTCTTTCATTTCAAAAGGATTTGAGGTCATTTGTAAGGCAAAAGGGCTCCGCTCACTAAGTCTCATGTTTTTCACTTAGTGACTTTAGGATCCCAAGGGAGTTCAGCCTCACAGGAGGCGAGGTGAGGATTAAAGGAAGTGAGTGAGGTCTGTAAGGCACCCGGAATATGCCCAGAGCCAGAAATGAAAGCTCAATAAACACCATTGTCCTAAAGTGTGAAAACCAAGCGAGATGCTTTTTCAGCTGTGTGTTTCACCCTATTTCATCCTTACAAGAATCCTGGGGGCCGGCACCCTGGATCACTAGGCTAATCCTCTGCCTGTAGCACCGGCACTCCGGGTTCTGTCCCGGTTGCTCCTCTTCCAGTCCAGCTCTCTGCTGTGGCCCGGGAAGGCAGTGGAGGATGGCCCAGGTCCTTGGGCCCTGCACCCGCATGGGAGACCAGGAGGAAGCACCTGGCTCCTGGCTTCGGATCAGCGCAGCGCGCTGGCTGTGGCAGCCATCTGGGGGGTGAACCAACGGAAGGAAGACCTTTCCCTCTGTCTCTCTAACTCTGCCTGTCAAAAAAAAAAAATCCTGGGACTTTGTTTCCCGCTTCTTGCATAAGGGAATTGGGTCTCAGAGAAGTGCAGTGATTTGTCCAAGGTCACACAGCTTAGCCGGTGGCTGGGGCAGGACTGCAGCCCAAGTCCTCTAACTCCACGCTGAAGGTTCATTCTGTTCCACTGGGAGTTCAACTATCTCCTGAGCAACGGAGACAAGGAGATAAAACGGCTAAACTTGGCTGCCAGGTTAGAGGCACCTCACCGTCAGTGAGGCCATGAAAGGAACCGGCGGGGAAGCCAAACATGCGGCGCCTCAAACCCAGTCCCATCTGCTTATCAGTTCTGCGGCTCTGGCCTGTTTCACTTTCTTCAGTTCCAAGCGTGCACACTAAGCGCTTAGCACATAACAGACCCTCAATGAACAAGAGTCATTGATGAGACTTTTTCTTACTGAGCTCAAAACCTAACTCTGAGCTTCCTAACAGCCAGGGCAAAAAGGGAGGGGTTGGCACTGAAATCCTGACCCGCGGTCCGCCTAGGCTGGTATTCTTTTCTTTGCCTGCTCTTCAGTCCATCATTGGCTACTTAATAATGCCCATCACAAAGCAAGCTGTGCCATGGGCTAAGCTGCCTGGGATGGGCCCGGCTCAAATTCTCCCCACCCCCCACTCGCTCCTGAGCAGGATGCCTGGAGAGAGAGCGCTTGAACTACATCCACCACAACGAGACAGTGTCCCAGCTGATCGGAAAGGACCTCTACTACGCAGCACCACTGTCCATCTGGTGGCAGATCCCGCAGTACCTGCTCATCGGGATCAGTGAGATCTTTGCCAGCATCCCAGGTACCCTGGATCCCCGCCCCCGCCCTTGCGATCATCAGGGACAGAGTCTGGTGAGGCCTTCACCCAGGCCACAGCTGGGTTTCAGGGGAGGCGAATTCAGCAGGTGGCAGGAAGGACCTTTGGGGCAGAGGGGTCAGCATAAGCCAAGCCCCAGGCCTCAGGATGGGGGAAGGGAGGGTGGAGGCGTGGAGGGGGGGCTAGACCTGGAAGTTGGGGTTTCTCCTGAGGGCAACGGTGCTCCCTACCCATACTGCTCAAGGAGTTTGGCAGGGGAAAGATGGACCCATCTGGCTGTGCCAAGAGGGCAGGAGGAGCAGCATTCGCTGGGACCACGCAGGAAGCCCCCGGGGGGCTGGGCACATTTAGAAGAGATGGAAGAGGCTGAATGCAAAAGATTTGGGGGATGAGGCTGAAGGTGGGCGGAAGGGGCCTGGAGAGTGGGAGTGAGGGTGGTGCAGGCCTGGAGGAGCTGTCGCTGAAATGGGGAGCCCAGGAGCAATCAGGGAGGGGACACAGAGCTCTGGGGCCAGGTGTGCAGCATCCAGAAAGGTGTCTGGAGAAAGAAGCAGGCGGGGGGTGGGGTGGGGGGCATGGCCGTGGCTACCCAGACTGTCATCCAGGGAAGCTGGAGTGGAAGCGTCCGGGGCCGGGGGCCTGATCTGCTCCTCCAGCGGCCCCTCCTCCTCGTTCCCCACAGGCTTGGAGTTTGCCTACTCGGAGGCCCCACGCTCCATGCAGGGCGCCATCATGGGCATCTTCTTCTGCCTGTCAGGGGTGGGCTCCCTGCTGGGCTCCAGCCTGGTGGCACTGCTGTCCTTGCCCGGGGGCTGGATGCACTGCCCCGAGGACTTTGGTGAGTGTGGGGGTCTCCCCAGGAGCGGGACACGGTGGAAGGGAGGCTTGGAGCGGAGGTGGGCAGCTGCTACCTGCTTTGACCATGGGCAGAGTGAAGTGGTGGGCTGGACCCTTGAGGAGAAGAGATGCTGGCCCAAGCTCAGCCAGTTGCCCACAGCATGGCCTCTCTTCCTTGGGTCTCAGTTTCCCCAGTGGCCCTCCGAGAGGTTCCTTCCTGCTGCTGGAACTCTGCCCCTCTGGCTGGAGGATCATCTTGCACGAGGCATTTGTGTGTTTTGAATCTGGGATGCACAGCTTCCTGATGGGGGATTGCACACACCTCGGGGGACCCTTGGGAGCTGGAGAGAGCCACCCAGTGTCCTCAGACCCCACCCCTGACCCGTGCCGATCCCCTTCCCCAGGGAACATCAACAACTGCCGGATGGACCTCTACTTCTTCCTGCTGGCCGCCATCCAGGCCGTCACAGCGCTCCTGTTCATCTGGATCGCTGGCCGCTATGAGAGGGCAGCTCAGGGCCCAGCCTCCCAGAGTGGCTCCAGCAGGGACAGGGGCTGAACCCGCGGCCCTCCCTCCTCCCTCCCCTCCGCGCATCTCTCCTGGATGCAGACAGCAGCAGGCCCGGCTGTGGTTTCCCTCTCGGTTTATTCTGTACCCAACATTAGCATGAAATGGTTTCCATAAATAAGGGGTCTGAGCCCTTCCTCACAATCTGGTCCATGACAAGGGGCAGGGCAGAGGGGACCGGGCAGGGGACTTGGATCAACAAGCACCAGAGAAGGAGCAGGAGGAGCAGCCAGGGCCTTGACGGGACCCCTGTCCCTGCTGCCCCGGCTGGCGGCCGACCTCGCTGGACCTCGCAGGCTGGGCAGGGTCAGGAGCTGCCCCGGATCCTCTCCATGTAGTTCCGAAGCTCCTCTGGGTCCTTCAGCCCCATGTCCTCACACACCCAGCGGATGTCCTCCTCGCCCGCCACCAGGATGGACTGCACAGCAGGGGCCCCGACGGGCTCCTCGGGCAGCTGGGCTGGGGGCACTGGTGCAAACGTCACAAACTCCACGCGCTTCCGCCGCCCCCCAGCCTCCTTGCGGGCCAGGGTGCTGGAGGAGTTGGCAGTGCCCCCGGGAGGGCCTGGGGCTGGGGTTGGGGCCTCCCCTCCTCCCCCGCTCTCACAGGGGCAGCTCCCCTCCGCCTTGGACGGGCCAGGGGGCCGCCGGTCCAGCTGGCGGCTCAGCTCCTCCTGGTCAGTGCCCAGCCAGACCCAGTTGTGGGGCTGGGGGGAGGCGGGGTCGGTGGCGTTGTCGGGGGGCTCTTTGCGCTGATAGCGCAGCACGAAGACAATGCCATTGACGAGGAAGATGAGGATGGCCAGGCAGAAAATTCCCAGCAGGGCGTACATGCCCAGCTCTAGGTCTGTGACGCGCTGAGGCGCAGGGACCATCTCTTCCTCTTCCTCCTCTTCCCCCTCCTCCTCCTCCCTGGCCCCCTCTTCTGCCCGTTCAAACTTGCCCCTCACATCCATACTGCCCCCTGCACTGCCTGCTGCCCGCCGCTCACTACCTATGCTGGGCTTTGTGGCTGGTGGGCCCTGGATGGGGCCAGATGGGAGAGCTGGGGCCGGAGTGGGGGCAGGGGGCAGCCCCAGCCAGGCAGTGCCAGAGGCCAGGGGCACACGGTGGCGGCCCCGCCGACAGGGCTCGGGCGGGTGTAGAGCCACGTGCAGGGGCAGCCCCTCGGCGCCTGCCCCACTCACCACCACCCCGAGCCGGGCGCCCTGCTCCTCGGCTGGCAGGATGGCACTGGGCTCCTCAGCTGAGACGGACAGTCCCAGGTCCCGGCGGTCGTAGAGCTCGGCAGGGGCCAGTGTGTGGTCGGAGAAGGCCAGCCACAGGGAGAGGGCCACCTCCTGCAGGGCACACGGACACAAGCAGAGACACGCGAGGGCACGCACGCATGCACACAGACCACTCCCACAGAGACAGGCCACACGGAGGAGGAGATCAGAGAGAAAACAGAGACACAGGCAGGTGGACAAAACACAGGGAGAGAGGGGACGTGCGTCAATCACCTGTCTGCCACTTAGCCCTGGAGTCTGAGTCATCAGGAGGGGCCTCAGTAAGAGCCAACTAGTCAACCTCCCACTGCCACACTCCAGCCAGCCACTGCTTGATCACCTCCAGCCACAGAGAGCTCACTACCTCTCAGGGAAGTCAGTCCTCATTCTGAATGCCCCCAGGTTAGGGGTCAAGGTCCCAGGCCCCTTCCTCCCATCCCCTTCGGCCATCGTCCCCCAGCTGGAGGTGTTGACCTCATCCCCCTGACCCTCCAGCTGTCACCTGCTTTGGGGCGGGAAAGGCTGACTGTGCCCAGCACGTGGCTGTGACTTCCCCAGGATGGGCAGTGCCCCGGCTCAGGGCCAGCGAGATGCCCATCACCGGCTGCACCCGTAGCTCCAGCACCGAGACCTTGTCATCTGTCACAGCCAGTGCCTGCTCCCCCAGGATGGAGTCAGACAGCGGGGAGCGCACCTGAGGGTGTGAGAAGGAGCTGGAAGTGGGGGGGCTCCTATACACACAGCCCCCCACCCAAAGGCATTCAGTTTCTGTCCCCACAGCTTGCCCTCCTCCACCCACCCTCTGCACCCCGACTCTATGATCCAGACACACCTGGATCCCAACCTCACACCTGGGGGGGAACGTTCCCTCCTCCCTCCAGATGGCCCTGAGATACCCACAGCCCAGCTCCTCCTACCTAGCATTCTCACCTAGTCCCCAGCCCCACTGTGCTCACAGCTCCTCTCCCCAGGGACACCCTGGCCTCTCCCACTCACGCAGGAACCCTTTGGAGGCCACCCACACCCTTCTCAGCAGTGGGGTCTGGGCAGGGTATGCTCTCCAACGCCCCCTGCTGGCTCACCTCGATGGAGGTGACACCGGGTTCCCGGCCAACCAGGATGCGGCCGCCCTCCAGTGCGGCGACACGTGGGTCCTGCACGCGGGCGTGCGGCGCCACGAGGTGGGACACGTCCAGCAGCCAGTCCGGGCCGAGCAGGTACGTGAGGTGGCGGCCGCCGTCCAGCGGGTGGGCCGCGAAGGGGGCAAGGAAGCGCACGCTGGCACGCTGGTACTGCAGGCGGCAGCTGCGGGCGCGCCTCTCTGCCTCCTCCGTGGCCACCGCGGCCTCGGGCTCCGGATCCCTACAGAGGGGTGGCCGGGGCCAGGGCGTCACCTCCACCCCGTCCCCTAGAATCTTCAAGAGGATATAGCAGTGAAGATAATGGACAGAAACCTCAAGGGACTTCCATTCTCGGGGGAGGAGCCAGAGACACTGTGTGGTGACTGCAGGCCACCAGGGACAGCTTGGAGGGGCCATTCTCAAAGTGGCTGGAGGTTGGACGGTGCAGAGGGGCAGGAACACCTGGGCAGGTGTTCTTCAGACCTCAGCTGGGTCGCCTGGCTGGGTCACCGGGGCCCTCTCAGTCCCATGGCTTCCGCAAGCCTCCACTCACCCTTCAGCCGGGCCGGGCACCCTCCAGCCGCGGACCTGCTCCAGGGTGGTGTCGCTGAGCTCTATGCGCAGGGGCAGCAGCGGGGCCCACACCGTCAGCTGCAGCGAGGCCCGGAGCCGGCGCCACCAGAAGTCCACCCGCACGCCCCGCGCTCCCCGGCTCTCTGTGCCAGCCACAAATACAGCATCGCAGGCCTCAGACACCTGTGGGAGAGTGGAGCGCAGGTGTGGGCAAAGCTATGACTCAGGTGTGAGCTTTAAGATGGACCGCGGGTTGGGGGCAGGTTAAGCCACAGCTTGGGCTGCCTGCATGCCACATCCCAGTGCCTGGATCAGTTTCTGGCTCCTCTGCTTCTGATCAGCAGCAGGTGGTGGCTCAAGTACTTGGATCCCTGCCACCCTGTGGGAGACCCGGATGGAGTTCCAGGCTCCTAGCTTACAGCCTGGCCCAGTCCTGGCTGTCGTGAGCATTTGGGGGTGAACCAGCAGGTGGAAGATTCTCTCTCTCTCTCTCCATTTTAAATAGATGAAAATAAATAAACAAAAAAGGGCTATAGCTGAAATTCAGTTATTTCTCTGTAATGCTCAATGTGGTAACCTCGCCAATTACTCCAGCTGCCCTCGGTTGAAGATTTTCACCATACATGCAAGATCTACCCGCTCTGGAGGAACTGGGCCACTTTTTTGTTCACCTAGGGCTCATCTGGGAAAGCTGGCTGTTGGCACGTGCCAGCCTCTGACACTGGTGCTGGGGCCCTTTGACAACCAGCTAGGTAGGCAGAGGTGGGAGAGGCAGGACAGACCTCCCCACACAAGAGCCCTCAGGCAGAACACAGGAGTGGGAGCCAAGTGCTGCCACAATTGGGGAAAGACACCTTCTCCATGCAGGTGGCCAGGATTCGTGTAAGTGCGGGCTCTGTGCCTCCCCACTTAGATCTTCAACAGGGAGAAAGCTGTGCCACTCCCCCTCCCCATTCTAACCTCACAGGTCATTATGAGGCTCCAATAATGACAGTAATTTTCACCGTCATGTAATTATGATATTATTATCTTAACAGCAGCAGCTGCTGTGGTCTCACCTCCTGCTCTCTGCTGGATCCTGGCTTAGATGCTTGTCATTCTTCCAACAACCCAAAGACATATCCCTCTTTCACATTTAGCATGCCTAGGCTCAGGGAAGTTAGAGACCTGCCCGTGATCACACAACTAGCTGGGGGACAAAGATGGGCTTCAAACTAGAACTTGCTGACCCCAAGGGAGATGCTGTTAACTCCCCTAGCTCAGCTCATTTGCCAAGGCAGGGGCCTGAGGCGGGGCTTCCACGACCCCCACTTGACTGCGATGGAGAGGTGGTTGGGGCGCAAGCTGAAGCTGTGGTCTCGCCCTCTCCCCTAAGCTTTCTGGTCTCCAGAAGCTGTTTCTCCTGGGCCCGGATAGGGCAGGAGGAAAGAGCTATAGCTGAAATTCAGTTTCAGCCCACGCACCGAGGGTGCATGGCTGTGCACTCGCAAACACGTGCTCACACGCGCTGGGCACCTGCCACTCACCTGCAAGACCTGTGTGTTGGCAGACTCGCAGCCGATGTGCTCCGTCACCTCCACCAGGGCACCCCCGGCTTCCACGGTGACGAGGCGCACAGGGACACGCCGGGGCACCCCAGTCAGCACTGCCGTGTTCACCAGCTCCTCAGCCTGGGGTGGAGGGGCAGGAGAAACTCAGCCCCAAGCCCCCCAGCTCACAGAGCTCCCTGGGAGTTGGCCCCCAGCCTGCCAGAGACAGAGGCTCCTTACCTTGGCCAGTGGGACAAGGGCTCTGATGTCCCGCTCCGAAACCAGGACTTCCCACACCATTTTGTCCTTCTCTGCCTCGGGGGCCTGGCCCGGGTACTCCAGCTGCCACGTGACAGGGCGAGTGACCGCCACGCCCCCACCAGTGCCATTCTCCACCACAAATTCTACCCACAGGAACTCGGACAGTTCAAGGGGACTGCTGGCCAGAAGAGAGAGGAACTGAGTGCTTGCAGCTGCCAGACACTGTGCTAAGCACTTCCTGGAATCATGAGGTAGGCACTATGATCATCCCCATTTTATAGACGACAAAACTGAGGCCCAGAGGATGGGGAACTCTCCTATGGTCACAAGTAGAAAATGACAGGGTGATTATCTAAAGTCAGGCATCCTGGCTCCAGAGTCCAAGCCCTTATC